CCCTCCTGGGTAGATTTAATAATCTTTGGCCTCATGTCATTGTTGTTTAGTTTAACGTCCTTCGACGGGGACGCCTTCGGCACTGGACTCCCTCCAGCGACTCAGTCCCTTGCCAGGCGTCAGAACGTGGGCTTAGAGCATTTTTTATAGAGGTTTACGTCCTCGCGGATCCGAAGATCCACCGGTCCTGTCCATTCAGGATTACGGCTGGGCCGGACGGGGTCTGCACCAGACCGGGTCCGTCCGCCCCCGGGTTTTTTATAGAGGTTGCCTTCCTCGTAGCCCTCGAAGAGCCGTCATTCCTGACTGTTGCCAGTCAGGGTTACGACATGGCCGGACGGTGGTCTGCGTCAGACCAGTGTCCACCACCTCTGGACAGAGCCAGCGGCAGTGGCCCCGTCCGCCCCCAGCCCGCTCTCCCCTATGCCCTCTGCAAACAGAGGGACATGCGGAAAGCAGCCCTCCGAACAGCCCTTGACGGGCCGTTCCCACCTCGGCCGGAATTGGCCGCAGGCGGCAGCGCCTTTCCCACCTAGGGAGAGAGGCGCTGCCGTCTCCGTTGCCCAGGGTGCACCACAAGGAGGTTCCGGACCACGCACCCCAAGACTAAATCTGACCTGGAATCACGGCAGACATTTCCGTTGTAATTTTTTATTTTATCTGAAATAATCAGATTAAATTTTGTATTGTTGATGAGACTGGAACTGTTTTTTTTTTGTAATTTTTTAATCTTATGAAATATCTCGCAAATGACAATAAGTCGTAAAATTTAATAGTTAGGAACTGTAACATTTTACATGAAACTTTACAATTCATTTGATATATTCACAGCTGTTGTTCTAAATGTAAAACGTCCAAATATTTTCTCTATTTTTAGGTGATCTTCTACACGGCTAAAGTTAGCTTAAAATCGTGTGAACAGAATATTAATGACCTAAGGATTGACAGAGATTGATAGTGAATTTCTTTACTTTCTTGTTTATGTCAAGGTTACGGTGACATGATCTTATCATGTTGGAAATAAAAAAACTGTAATAGAAAAAAAATAGTATATTCAGTGTTGATAGTTTTGTTTGTATTACATCTAATGTAATAAATCATTCTAAAAGTAGTTATCCTAAAGTAAGTGCCCATTTGGATATTTTTTTTAAATTCATTTGAAAACAAGTAAATGGTTGCATGTGGTGACGTTTCTAACGTGTTTCTAGGTTTTATTAGAATTGATTATGATATTCATGGCTTAAGTAAGTAATTTACGACAAATAAATATACATAAGAACAGCTGGTATCTTATCTGCAAGTTACCTTTTCTCTACTTATCTACTGCCAGTAAAAGGTTCCACTTACTATCATAAATACCCAATATATACAAGATATTTTCTGCTAAACGTATGTAAACATAAACGGATTTGAAAAGAAGTCAATAAACAATATGACGTATCGCGGGTTGTGTTCGAAGTATAGATTTCTTTAGATTTTAGCAATCCTATGTGAGAAAACAAGATTACATGCCTTGTAGATGTTGTCATTTTATTGTTTTTCTTTTATTAGAGTATTTTATTTCTATAATTAATAAAGTTGTGTTATTGTTTCACTTTTCATTGTAAATATATTCTTTATTTATAACCTACTGCAGCAGACAAGGTCAAATTAAAAATAGGATCCGGGACACGGCTTCCATAATGTGCGTACGATAAGAAAAAAAACCCTTTATCATTGACAGCCTTTAAACATAGGTATGATAGATATTTTGTGTTCAAACTTATAACCATGGCTGGTATTGGTTTTGGATCAAAAACACACTTGGATTCAGGGTTGGTTGGTTATTCAGTATATCGCACTGAAGTTTCGTGTTTTCCCGTTCCAATTTTGAACTTTTGACTGTCTGACTGACTGTAGTCAAAGTTTCGTGCTGTACTGTCATTTTTTATACCGACTGCTTGTTACAGAGATTCACAGCGCATTCACTACTAAGCTCATCATTACTAAACTCATATACGAGTATATTGCGGGTGTTAAAGAGTTTTTACTACATGGCACTAATTATTGGTAATACCATGCTATCCGTCCTACTATAACTACCATATCGTAAAAGTTACATGTTGTGCTTACTGTGGTATCGATCTTCTATCTTTTATTGCTTTTACTGCCAATTTGCATACCGCGTTGCACGTTTACTAATGAAACAGATAGCAATAAACTACTTGTCTTGTCCAAATAGTTTGCGCTTTCGTCATATAATTGTTCGTTAGTGATAACTAATAAATCACCTATTACTTTTACTATGTTGCCAGGGAGCGTTACCAAATTCTACTAATATTTGTTATAATTTAACGCCCTTTACTACCTACATTTTGTTGGTTGATGTATTCTTTAAATAATCTTTTGGCCCTACAAACTGAAAATAAATAGATTGACACTTCTCCACCGAGGCAAAAGTCGGTATCCATATCAAGTGGTCAAAAGCATTTTCCCTTTCGTGAATTAAAATGAGAGTGCAAACAAAAAATGAAAAACAAATTGTATGAAATATTAATATGAGTACTAAGTTAAAAAGACATTCAGAACGATTTCACAAAAATGTTTTTCTCCAAAATACTTTTAAACTTATATAGTTCCTTTACATAGTGATGCTCCGTGAGAATTAATTAATGTATAGTGATGTTTACACACTCTGTATCTGTGTGCGTGAAGTCCTTAATTGAAGTGTCGAACCGTGATAATTGCGCTACAAATGTTTGCTAATACTTCAAGCGAGTAAATTAATAGTTTTGTCACATTGCAATACTTAAGTAAAATTTATGAATAGGTACGCGTGTAGTGCGTGCATTAGTACACGCGTACCTATTATATAAATTCATAACTTATTATAGATAATATATGAAACTAGTGCCAGAATTTGTGCCCTACCATTGATCTTAGTATCAACCGCTTACAGGTTATAAGCGGTTGATACTGAGAGCTCTTTTTGAAAGCTAATAAGAGAAAGCTAAATTCAGTAGCAGATATCTTATGGTTATAATTATGATGATTAAAAACGTCAGTTAAATAATTTACATTTAAAAAGAAGGAACCATCCTGAAGATTAAAAATTAACGTCTGCAAAGCAAACAGAATCACATAAACTACAAACATTTATTTCCCCAATGCTCTGTGAAACAATGAAAACTTTTAATTTTGTTTCAAGTCCCTCGTCGTCTCTATTGTGTTAACGTTTAAATAAAATGTTGCCCGCGTTCACACGGCTGGCTTTTATACTTTGTAACACGCAGTAATAAACCGCAGTTGTTTCTGTGATAGACTTGCGTAACACAACCCTTAAACACGAACGAATCGTAAAGAATAAGTGAAAATTATACGAATATTAGGACTTGGTTGCGAGTTTTGTTATATTTGTGCGGTTCTTGAAAGGTATTTTACTAAAGTAAACTTTAAAGATTCAAGGTAATTCGTGACCCGGTACTGGATACAAATAACATAACCGAAAGTTATGTTATTAATTAATGAATTATTTGTAAAATTGCTGTTTTTACGTTATTAAAAATCCGCATTCTACTAAGATTAGTAAATGAACATTTATCGAAATATGAAGTAAAATATTAGGTTTCTTTTCCAAAAGATGTAAAATTAAGTTAAACTAAAACTTCACTTTTTGTAAACGGTCTATCTCATGAAAGATGTAGGTACCTGGACCACATGAATAAATTTAAAGAAAGAAAAATTATTCATGTACCTGGTTAAAAAATCTAAGTCTTTCTTTAGCCGCTCTAAGAACAATTACTAAATAAAATAAAAGTTAAAGGTAGAATAAAAGAACAATGAAATTAATACCGATTTGTTAAATCTTGTACGTTGACACCGAAAAGGGTTCCGTGTGCAAATCCCACTCGCACTTGTCCAGTTTTATTACGTAATTATTATTTTTATCATGCTGTTACTTTAGAATTGTTTTCACCTTTGAAGTTTGACGGTGCCCTGCCGTTTGACGTTGAAAAAACTGATTTGACTCAACAGTCAACTACCGTACTGAATACAAAAATAAGCTAAGTTCAAAGGTAATATAAAAAGAAAATATAATCTTGTAAAATACTTTATCAAATTAGGGTATATTTTACATTGTGACATTAAATGCCGCTATATTTACGTGATATCTTGCGGTTATGAACTTTTTGATGCTGATAAAGGGTCGCAATCATTAGTTAACTAGGTTATTATGTTACGTAAATAAAACATTCACCTTTGGGGTCTTGCAAGACGTATAATCAAAAAGTATTAAGTTTATTGAAGAGATTACTATTACTTATCAATGCATTCCATTTATATATAAATAGATCGAAGCTTAAGAGAGGTAGGCACTAGTAGTAGTCTGCAGGAATCGACGTTTTTTAATCATTTATTAGTGACCTCATTTTATGTGTTTTCTTAATATTTAGATTTTATTTTTGGTAATGATATAAACCTATGGGAATGAATGCGATCACAATAGAGGCATTACATCCCTTGAATTGACGTTTCCACCGTGGCACTAACCGTGATCACTCGCGTCCTCACTTGTGCACGATGTCCGTCTTCGAGTCCGCGAGGAAGAATAATTCTCATCCAACTTTACATTTTTGATATTTTAACTTACTATCACTAATACTATTCTAACCACCTCTCTGTTTGAAAGAAAACGGAAATAACGATAAAACAAAATGTGTTTTTTTCGCATTGAATTCTTTTTAGTGCCTAAAAATAATGTTCGAAATTGCTGTTTGATTTCTCACGACTCAAAATAAAACCGTATTTCAATGATAACATAATATTTTATTTTATTTATTAGCTGTAATATTTATAAGGCGGGATATCTTTTTGTGTAGTCCTTTGATAAAATATTGCCAGTATTTTTATCCAACTCTCGATGTAATTTTTATTCTAAAAATGTAGCAAGTTTGTAAAATATACGAGGGCTTCAATCTGTACGTTTACATCGGCTGTGAGCCGTCGAAATTACCTTCAGATCCGTCGGGATTAACAGCAATAGAACGATATCCTACCAAATTGTTTACCTTCATAAAAACCACAGCTTTTGGAAGTAAAGCAATACTATTTTATAATAAAAACAGGTGGTTATGGTAAGTGACCTATTTGATGGTAGGCAGCCACTTACACATCTGTTCTTAGTGCTGTTTAATAATATATATTTTTTTATAATAGCAGCAGACCCGGTAAACGGTTGTTTTGCCACATAAATTATTTCTAGTGAATATTTTAGAAGTTAAATAAAAAATAACTAACTTATTGTAAGAATGTTGGGATAGGGTCTGTGACTGAAAGAAGAATGGAGCGCTGTGGCCTATGACGGCCTATAAAAATAACAAAACACTAACCGTTCATTTTCGTAATTCAATGTATTACTGACATATTTGCAATAAACATAAATTCTAGGGAGGGTCACCCTTACCACCTAGGGGTATATTAAATAGCTTACGACCTGTTCTCAGACCTACCAAATATACAAAAAAAAACATTAAAATCGGTCAAGCCGTTTCGGAGGAGTTCGAAAACAAACATTGTGATGCGACATATATTAGATAAACTCTATATTTTTAATTTACTCGAAAATACACACACGAATCTTAAAGAATATGGTAAACTGCACTATATTACTCTACTTCAGTGAAGGCTTGTGGTACTTTGTCAATACAAAGTATCACAAGCACAGAAGAAGTACAGATTTTGCAGACTCCATCATTATAGAGTCTGCAAAATCTGTACTTCTACGAGTATTCTTCAATCTAGCCATGTGACAACTAGTCTAGTGAGAATTTAATATAATATCGAAGATTAGATCTTATTTGTAGATTCTAAACGAGAATTGTATACTAGATCCTAAACGTTAACTAAATTGTGTACGAGGCACAGTCCTCATTCTACTTTACGACTTGTAGTGTTCTCTTTCCAATAAGAAAACTCTTTACAATAAAGTTTTTCATATATTGCATGTAACCTACATGAACGGATGGCGTAGTGGTGTGATCCACAAATTGTTGTTCTGAGACTGGGTGTTTCTGTGGTGTACATTTGAATGAACATGTTTTAAAGTCCCCTCGACACAGAATATATTCCTAATGCTGGTGTTGCCGTTCTTAAAACAAAAAATACTATACCTTTACTAACAACGTCTTTCATTGTTTCAGCTACAAGCGGCGCTGGTAGCGGTCCTGGTGGTGGCGACGCGCGGCGTGGTGGTGACGTCCACCGCACGCGCAGCCCAGCGTCGGCTCATCAAAGTCGACTTTGACAATCTTGAGGTAATTACACTTTCTCACTCGCCTGCACCTGCATATGTACGAGTACGTTGGGTGTAACATGCCGATCAAAAGTGAAAGTCGTGTTAATGTGTACTTTGGTGTACTATCATGCGGAAAATTGATTTAAAGTAAATAATATGAAAACATCGTGTAGGGAATTATAGCTTTATAATTTAACTTTATACATTATTCTTTATGATGTGATAAATACTCATTTATTTATAGTTCTTAGTCAATTTTAGTTATCTCATTAAAATTAGGTGTGTCGCGTAATAATAGAGTGGTCCCAGACTGACTCTAATCTGCCTGTGACCACGGTCAGTACGAGTTGGTTGAAATATGAGGTAATTCAAAGTTAGGTAACACCTACATGTATCACCTTTATTATCTGCCGACTCTTTTCCCAACTTTACATCGGGTCTGTGCCAGTTTATAGGGAAAAACAAAAACACATTGCTCCGACCCGAAAGAGATAGAGTAATATCATTAAATTTCTCACTTCTTACTCTCTTTCTAACCATCTTCTTTCATGCAATACATCTATGTCTTTTTTGGTCATCTTCTTCTCTTGCAAATTTCAACTTCCATACGTAAAAGTCTTTACCAAAACACTTTGCTCATCTCTCCGTTTTACAATCATTCTGATCTTGCTCATCCCAGTCCACCGTAAATGCGAAAGTGTGTCTGCCTGATTGTCCTTACCTCTGCACGCTTAAACCGCTCGACGATTTAGATGAAATTTGGTATTGAGATTGTTGAGTTCCGTCAAAGGACACTTTTTTTAGGACCTTAGTTTTTACCCTAGAAATTCATCAATTTAAAGGCTGAAAAGGTGGGTGGAAGTTTGCATGTGAACCAATAACCACTAAACCGATTTAAATTAAATTTGGTATGGATATACTTTGATTATTGAGAAAGGACATAGGACATAGACTTTTACCACGACAACTGACATACATGCGGGCGGAGCCGTGGAAAAAACCTAGTGGAATAGAGTTTCGAATTCCAATCTCGCCTCCGATGTCTTCGATGGAACCATATCGATTTAAAAAATAAAAACATAGCAAAAATACTTGTATGAAATTAAGAATTAGTATATATACAACATGGTAGGGTGTGTCGCAAAGGTTCTTGGCATAAAGCCACACGCTAACTTTTTCCCACCCACATTAATTTATAACCACCAACTTATACATAGAAAACATTAATTTTGCTAAGTGGTTTCTTGTCTCCGAGAAACTTTTCTGTATTAAAGAAAATTGTTGTAGGACTTTAATAAAATTCCATTAATCATTGGTTTAATGCTGTCTAAAACTTTAAAATTAGTTTTTAAACGCACCTTATAATTTGCTAAATTTTTTTGACTGAAATTGCTGACTCTCAATGTTTATTTGTTCATTGTTTGTTGTGTAGTCCTCACATGGAATAATTATTATTTGTGGTATTCAATATTTGTTCTGAGTCGGTGTGTACTTATGATACAGTGTTAGCGATATTTCCCAAGTGACAGAGAAATATGAGAGAAGCAAACTGATTTAATTCAATGCTAAATATTAACACTCACGCTTACATTTCCGAAGGGGTAGGCAGAGGCATATTCAAAGCCCACTTTGTGAATAACTTCTATGGACGAGCGATAACTGTTAACCAAACACTCCAGGAATCATATTAAAAAAATTAGGAGTATATCGAAATTAAACGTAGGTAAAAGTAGGAAAACCGCGTTTATGAAAAGTCTGATTATGTCGAACGGAAATTCAATCGTTTGTATATGAAAATAATTTGTTAATGTTTTAAAATGTTTTGACTTTCTTAATCAAAAATGAAAGTTTTGTAATATTTCCAACCAGCGACTTCCTATATACAGGTTTTTTTATAAGTACCCGGTCCACCACCTTTTCTAGCGGTGAAGTCGCATGTTTGTAATAATCTCTTAGTACAGATTTAGATATGTTAATCACCAACGAGATTTAATCTGTAGAGATAAATTTAATATTCGTTTTAGGTACGCCTACATCACTTCTGATATACGTAGGAAAATCTGAGAGTAAAATAAATCTGGGTACTAGATTTATATGTAAAATTTATGATGTTTTTTTTTATAACAGAAAATATCCTTTGGGTATTGTGTACTTAGGTCTGCAAAAGTTTTGATTGCTATATTTTAGTCATAATATTATTTGAAAATACGCTCAATGCTGATGCTAAAATTGAATATCACTGTTAAAATAATGTTCCATTTTCTATATATTTTTATTTCAAACAAGAAGCTAAATATAATTACGTACTGATATTGTTAGAACAAATATCAACTGCGGTCTATAAATTGGCATTTCTAAACAACTCGTGCGTGTGATTGTACCACAGAGTAATGTTTATTACACACACAAAAAACAAATATGAGAAGCAAAACAGTTCTAATGTTAACGATTGGAAATGAAGGAATAAAATGCTTTCAAATGATGATGAACATTGCTTTGGTCCATTAATGTTGTGTGATTATGATACCCGATCTTTAATGGTGTTCAACAGAAAATATTAATTTTATGCGCTATTTATCACCCGCCGTGACTCGCCAGCGTGTGTAGTACTTGTTTTATTTTGAGCGGAACCCTGTTTATTTTTCTAAATAATAATAGTATTAGCCATTCTAGAAAAATGTTAGCTATCTATCAGTGACAGTCCCGTGAAAATCGGTTCACTCGTTCTGGAGATAATTTAAAAAATTATTGATTGGTTAAAGATATTACAAACAGCCTACTTCATTTATTTCTGTAGATTTTAACGTCTGTGTTATCTAGAATTTTTAAAACAAAAGAGCTACCTGAGCAATCACTAACAAGAAAACGAGGTAGTACTCTTGTTCAAAGCAGTGTTCACGAAACAAAAATCAAAGTACACGTTCGAAAGGTTCTATTCTAGGCTTTTTATCGATAACAGAGCTGTTGAACAATACGTGCCAAGATTTATGAAGGTACTTGTACGTTACAGCCACGTTAATGGTTATGTGTGTTTTGTGTTGTATTTACCTTCTTCTATAGAAATTTCTAGTATTCTTATAAACTCGTTGCAGGTGAATAACTTAAAAAAAATAAATTATATCTAAGGTTTACACGCGTCCGTTTTTGTTTAAATAAATTCTTCTTCTCAACCGACTTTAAGTTTAAAAAAAAAAAGAACACATGTGGCAAATAGCGGCATCTCACCTGCGAGGTATGAATGGAAAAAGAATAAGTGTGTGGAATGAAAGCATGAGAAAGTAGCAAATGCGAGAATCTTTGGTAAGGATACAGTTGGACGACGGACTTCAAATAAATACTGGAGGTGCCTAGGAAAGACAGTAACACCCGTGAGAGCGGGTCCCCTGCTTAATAATAAAAAAAACCTTTACCAAACCGTCTGGCCATGGTAGGCCAAGACCTAAGGAGACGCCTATGTCTAAATAAGGACTACTAAAAGGCTTATGATGATAATGATGATATTTCTAAATTTAGTTATAAATATACAGATAAATAACTCAGAGAAAATTTAACATATGATCGTGCTCATTATACAATTATTTGTCCTGGGTGGGAATCGGACCCCCTTGGCTTAGCATCAAAACCACTGACCACTAGACCAACAGGCCCGTCAAAATTATGTCAGTATCCGCTTACGGTGAGACCGAGGCCCCACAAATAAATAACTGTCCTTCCAAAAACGATTGTCATACACATTGCTCAGAAAAATAAAATTATGGCGGCCATGCTAATTTATGTGCTAACGGTAAAATAAATTATATCCTGAAGCATGTGCAACTTGTTCAAACAAGGCCTTTTAAAGGTTCTGCGACCTAGTTTATGAAGTAACAGTAATAACAACTTTATATTGAAAGTCGTTGGGTCGTTTTCAGTGTGAAAGCAGGTAAGTCAGTAAACAGTCTCAAAGGACGTCTGAAATTAAAATTTTAGATACGTTAATAATAGGTTTCAAGATGTACTGTTTACTCTGTGAACATTGTTTTTACGTTTCGTTGTATATTTTAGAGAAGACTATGAAAATGTTTAATTTGCGACTGACATGGAAGGGGATAGACTTTTCAAAAGCCTGATATGGGCTAAAGATAAATTATCAAAAACGTTATACAAATAGTCAAAAAAATATAGATACGTACTAAATAACGTACGACGTTGGGTGTCCGTTAAAACATACATACATACACGATACAAAAAACTACATCATCATCATTAACAGCCTTTATATCCCGCGGTGAACCACTGCTGGGCTAGGCCT